TCTCCAGCCACTCCTCCCCCAGCCTGTAGCGTTGCATGGGGTTGTTGTGGCCAAAGTGCAGGACTCGGCACTTGGCCTTGTTGAACCTCACACAGTTGACCTCAGCCTATCGATCCAGCCTGTCCAAATCCCACTGCAGAGCCTTCCTACCCTCCAGCAGATCAATGCTCCTGCCCAACTTGGTGTCGTCTGCAAACTTACTGAGGGAGCACTGGATTCCCTCATGCAGGTCATCAATAAAGTTATTGAACAAGACCAGCCCCAAAACCGAGCCCTGGGGAACACCGCTTGTGACTGGCTGCCAGCTGGATTTAACTCCACTCTCTGGGCTTAGCCGTCCAGACAGTTTTTTACCCAGCAAAGCATATGCCCATCCAAGCCATGAGCAGACAGTTTTTTCCAGGAGTATGCTGGGGGAAACAGTGTCAAAGGCTTTCCTGAAGTCTAGGTAGACAACATCCACTGCCTTTCCCTCATCCACTAAGCAGGTCACCTCGTCATAGAAGGAATGTACAGGATCATAGAATAATCTAGGTTTGAAGGGACCTCAGAAGTCCACCTCCTGCTCAAAGCACAGTCATCTATAAGGTCAGAGTGAATTGCTCAAGACTTTATCCATTTAGGTCTTGAAAACCTTCAAGGATGGAGAATGCATAACCTCTAGCGGCAACATGTTCCAATGATTGACTGTCCTCATCTTAAAAAACAGGTTTTAATTTCAGTATTGTGTTGTCTCTCCTCCTCTGCCATGCACACCTGTAAAAAGCCTGGCTCCATCTTCTTGGTAATCTCTTTTTAAGTTTTGGAAAGCTGCTATCAGGTTTTCCCCAAGCCTTCTTTTCTCCAGGCTACACAACCCAAGTTCCCTCCGCCTCTCTTCGTATGTCCAGTGCTTCTGTCCCCTGAGATTCTTGGTGGACCTCTGTTGAACTTCCTCCAGTTTATCAAAATCTTTCTTGGTTTGAGGGACACAAAACTGATACAGTATTACAGATTTATGCTTGAAGAGTTCTAGATTCCATATTCAGTTCCATATTCTCAAGCAAACTAGTGTTTTGCTTGCTAGAGAATTGCTCAGACACAGAAAAATTTTTTGTTTTATGCAGAAGTCTGGAAAGTACTGAAATTCCTGATAATGGCAGTGCCATTTAATCACACTGTGAAAGCTCTCATGTAAATAGTGCAATTATAGTGAATTGGATACTTGACTAATATTTGGGACACGGCTGTCCACAATGTAAGTGACTACCTGTATAAAGTTAAATTTAATGTCTTCCTTCAAGTCAGTGTCCAAAAATGGCTTTTGAAAGCATAGCAATTAAATATTTTGGAGGACATGATGTATTGAAAGAGAGTTGTTGAAAAATGAAAAAAGTAGTTTCAATATTTTGGATACCTAACTGAATCCTTTTGTTAGGATAAAGCCAAGTAAAGCCAACATAATTAAAAAATAGGATAACAATTTAAAAAAAAAATCTGGCATAATTGAAATTAGTATAAAATATTTCACATCAGTTTTTTTTTTAATTGCTACTTTGATCATCATAAATGTTTTGTTGCTATTGTTACTGAATTTAAAAACAATGATTTTTTACCCATTTTTGTCCATAGCATTTATAATTGTATTGCATTTTGAAAAGGAATTAACTTAAAACTTTTCTCTAATAGCTACTGTGTTGCTTCACCTGTTTATGTAGCTTACAAATGATATTAAAACAGATACTGAACAATTATGAGAATGAAAGCATTCTCTGTATCAGACAGTGGCAAATACTGGAAAAGCTGACTGAAAAGATCAGAGTCAGGTTAAAAATATTATATTTCTCGGAGAAGTCATTGCATTTTATCAGGAAAAGAAAACTATTCCGATAAAGGATCAGATCTGCCAGTTTCTATTAAGAACAGAGTAAATTCTTTAAAAGAACAGCTGAGCATCTTTGCTTGAATTTCAGAGAGTTACTCACAGGATGGTTTTGGAATCTGTTGGTAAAAAGGTTTCTGCTTTGGCACCTAGATCTTTCAAGGATAATGAGATTATGATTGCAAAATGTCAGTGCCTCTTCAAAGGAGACTAGACTGTAAGGTGAAATTCTAACCTTCTCTCTTCACTTCTCAGAAGTGGCTAAAGTGATAGGCTTATTAAGTCTTTGAAATCGTAGCTTAGAAGTTGAGATCGTGAGGAGTCCACGCTCCTAACAGTGCGTGAGTAATGCTGGTGAGTAACTGCTGGATTTGCCTCAACTCTAAGGAAAAGGGGATCGGTCTGTATGGCTTGTATTTCTCCTCCACTAGCAGAGACACGTGGCCAATTAACACCTGCAGCTTACCTCACAGGACTCTCTTGTGAGCAGGACTTTTCAAGCATGAAGCAAACTTTGCCTTCTACCCACCTCCAACACCGCTGGTATTCCATTTCCAGGGGGAAAAGTTCCAGCTTTCTTCCCACATGCACAAGTAGGTAATATGTTAATTTGGCAAAACAGAACATGCATTTTGCCTCCCCACTCCCAAGAGGAAAGTCCATGCTTTTTCCAGGATGTAAATTTCCCTAGTTATGTCTCAGGGGAAGAAGTCAGAGTAATTGCTCCCTCCACCTCCTTACCCCAAAAAGATGTCCCGATGAACAAAGCATCAATTCCCTTCTTAGATAACAAAATGATTATAAAAAGTGATAAAACAGGATTATAAATTAAATATGTGAGGGTAGCAAAGCAGTTGCTGGCCAGTGTTTGGCATATGGAAAACACTTTTTAAATAGGAAATTATGCTAATAATAACTGAGATTAAAAAAAAAAAATCCAAATCTTGGATTATTTTATTTATTTTTTTTTAAAGACCATAAATTTGAATACATCTATTATGTGAGCTGGGGGAAGAGGTTCTTTAATATGCTGCTGTAGTACCATGTTAGCTCCCAAAACTATTGCTTGAGGATCAAATTTGCATGCAAAATGGATGGCTTTTATTTTTGTCACCTATCTGTAGATAGTTCTTCTGGATTATCTTGCACTATAAATTGTCCTTGTTACAACAGTCATCCCTTTTAGCCTGACTTACAGTCCTAAATTTCATCCCACACAAATCTGGCATTCATACTTCTTTTTATTCAAATTTTTTTACATCAGGAATGTAGAATTCTGAGGTTTAGAGAATTTTTTTTTAAGAAAAGGATTCATAAGCAAAAGAAATTAAGCTTCCATCATCTTAATCTTTTCTCTCCAATTATTTATTATGAGTCTTTTTTTCAACTTTGACAGGATAAGAAATATGTAGGATATGTGATAGGCATACAATTGTAAAAGAAAGCATGTATAAATCCAAAGGAATAGGTAGAGGTAGAATGTAAATACATGGTATATCATAATAAAATTGTTGTGGTTTAGTGGGTAAGCATGGTAATGGAGGTATTTTTTTCTTCATTGCAGTTTCATAATGAGTTCACAGTAGTCTGAGTTTCAGTATTTTGAATTTGTGTTGGATTTTAAATAATCATCATGTGCAAGCAGTTCTAAACGTGGACTCAAGATCACCTATGGGTTTTAAAGGAAAAAGCCGTATGGAAAATGTAACAGTAAACTGTGTGTTCTTTTGTGTATACCAACAGACATCAATCAAAAGTGTTTTTAGGTTCCTGCTCACATATAAAAAAACACTGTGATCTCATCTCATTTTAATTAAATGAAAGAAAGGAAACTTTTTGAAAAACCTCTTTGAAATAAGCATATTTTTTTCTTATCGTTTGGCAAAAAGTCTTTATTTTTAGGAGTGAAAAAAAAGAAAAGGAGAAAATATATGCAGTTGCATTTGCGAGCCAAATTTACAGAGGGAGGCAAATTAAAATCCCACTCAATGGGTTCTTCTCATTCCTTTTTTCAAAACTTTCTTCACTTCAGTTGTTCCCAAACTGTGGGTTGTAGAGAAATATCAAAAAGGAAAATTCAGTTTGTTTTCAGTGAAAAGTTTTTTCATAAGTAATATGGTAATCTGAGAGAAAACAATGTGGTTTTGTTTCAAAAAGCATCAAGACAGTTTCTATAAGGCAGAATACAGAGAGTATACCCACCAACTGTGCTCCATCTCACTTGCGTGTTATTTGATTAGTGTGTGCAAATACTCATCAAAAGATCCAGCTCAAACCAAGGGTTCATCTAGTTTTTGAGATATTACCAGCTGGAAAGAGACAGGGACAATATACCTTTCTTTCCTAATTCTCTCCCTTGTATTATCTTCTCTTTTGTTGTCATTAACCTACTTTGTCAGCCATTTCGGATGGAAGAAGCCAGGAATCTCTTACATGACTTAGGCTTTTTGTCCAGGGTGTCAGCATTTGAGTATGGACTTGTAAAAGAAGTTCCACATGCCAGCAGGA